GTGTGTATGATATCTTTGGCAATAATGCTGTCAAAGAAATAGAACTTTAGTGATATAAAGGTATTGAATAACATACGTAAGAACTGTTCACCTTCAGTGGTATTCATTTGTAGAGTGGATTTTGTATGACTGTGCAACGGCACGGCATGGTCACGGAACCTCACCTTCAAGGATTCCAAATAAAAATAAAGATTTAACAATACATCACCGCTATGGCACGGTACGGTTACAGCGCGAAAGTACCATGTTTTTTGCACAGTCATACGAAATCCGCTCTATTTGCAATTGTGTGTATAAAATACTGTAAGTTTTAATTTCAAATAATTACATACGTCTGCAATATTTTGAAGCCACTGTGAAATATGTTTAAAAGAATCTTCAGCAGTAATATCATAGACCAGCACTATTCCCTGTTGAAAAKGCAAGAAATTCCAATTCAGAGACAGATCCTGGGATGCTTTTCTTCAAAAAGTTGAGTTTTTTTCAGACCATATATTATGATCTTTTTGTGGATTACAAGCACTAACAATTATTTCTGGATAACAATACAACAATATGCTCACCATTGCACCTCTGTAATATGCATTTGTTAGTGTACGAAATCTTTCTTGACCAGCAGTATCCCTGTAAATCAAAAGAATTAACCATCTTTGACATTGACCTATACAGTACATTTCAACTGGGATTTTCTGTTGCTTCTTTGCCTTATAATAGATTTGAGTTTGTTATGGCCTAGAAGTCCTAAGCATCAAAAATTACCCAAAATGTATCATTATATTGCTTGAGAACATCTCTGAGTAAGCACCAAAAGTTTATTGTCTAAAATCCCCCCTCCCTCCCCCTTCACTATTGGATAATTTAAGATGTTTGGCTGTAATGAATATTGAATAAACTAGTCATATCCTCAATTCCAAAATGAATGTTACCATATTTGAAGTCTCACTCTTTTGCCATCAATATCAACAACCTTACTTCTGCAATCAATACCTGAAAAGTAATATTATAGTTAATTATAATTTATGAGAGCTAAAAAATATCCCCCTCAGTAAATGAGACACCAAATTAATAATGAATGATTTTCACATTTGTTTTGATGTGCAGTTTCGTCAAAACTCGATCAAAATCTATAGATAAGAGGGACACGAGAAGCTCGCTAATACATGCATGTATGGAAATCTAAAATTCCACAATGCGGATAACTTACTTAACAAAACAAATGATTTCATAATATCAGTAACAATGTCAAGTACATTATATTACATACATGCTCAGCTGACTTTAATGGAGTCATGCGGAACTTGCTCATAGCACTTAAAGAATTTAGCGTTATTTATACACAAGAATGTTTGAATTCCTCGATTCCTTCATAATGCTAAGCATTATATTTAGCTCAACTTTCAGAGTGAATTAGACATAAGATTCCAAATGGTAATATAAAAAATCTCACCTATCGTAGAAATGTAGCTATCAGAAAAGATGTCTTCAGTAAATCGAAAGATCAAACACGTTTTTCCAACTCCACTGTCCCCAAGAACTAGGATCTTGTAAGTGCAGTCGAAATCATTTTCTTGCGAAGAGGAAGAAGCCATTATACGTGATTATACGTTGCTTGCATGAATAATCCTTGTAGCTATGCTCGTTCTGGTCTGGGGCTGACCGGAAGTGTATGACCGCGAAAATCAAATTGTTGTGAAGGTGAGACCGGCGTTTTTCCAATAGGATTAAAATATTAATTCGTGTCTGAAATGTTTTCAAAAATATTTCAAAATTTTTAATTTTATTCCTACATTTTTCTTACTGAAGTCTAAATATTTCTAAAATAGAATTCATATAAACTTTTTACCCTCCCCTCCCACACATAAAAGAAATTACTCGGTCCAGTCTTCAATCGTTTTCGTCCTCTGCTTCACTGCATGCTGAAGCAACAAGTGCAGATATTTTGTCTTTACTTCCAAAAATGGGATTTAAAACAACAATTTTTCGCTGTTTGACGAGAACGACTACGATCTCTGCTGGCCTGTTCGCCGGTGGAGCTGCGTATATTTCTTTGGTGGAACATCCGTCAAGAMGAAAGCTTGAAACAAAACATATGTATCTTGAATGGAAAGAAAGCCTGGCTCACGGAAAATCAATGCCATTACTCGTTCTTGTATCATCTCTCTCTGGAATAACAGCTTATCTTCTGAAGCCCAAAGGTAAAGGAATACCCTGGGTCCTTGCTGGTGGTGCAATGGCCTTGATTTTACCCTACACAGCTTTAGCTATGTGGCCCTTTGCGATAGGTCCAATCTACGATAAGCAAAGAGCTGAGAAGAAAGGGGACGAGTACATGCGAAGGTTTATGGAAAAGTGGAACTCACTGCATACATTCCGAACGGTTGTGGGGATTGTAACTTTCAGTGGATGTGTGTATGCTCTTTCGACCAAGTGGTGAAAGTTTGAAACGGTTTAATTGGACTCTGGATTGTGGAACTYATATTAGGGCGGCTAATTATATATAATTAATGGAACTTTAACTTGTAAAAATCTTTTAATTAAGYTAGTGGACTACTCTATTTAACAGAYACCTTATTGTTTGCTTTTATTTTCTTGTAAAAACGAGGTAAACATAGGTATTAGAGGTTAATATACTAAGGGGTATAAGATAAATAATTTATGTATAATTATTATACAGCTTGAAAAAGGACAAGAAGTGACTTAATCACGTTACGGACATGCCTTTGCTGTTACTAAAACAAAGGACTAACATCCAAAACCAATGYCAAAGYAATAATGTCAACTTTGTCATAACYTGATTCCTTCAAATACTGCAATGCTTYGATGGCAGCCAACTGACTCARCGTCAATCTGACGGGACACAGCTGAATTTTTTAGACAATCTGRCCCTAGAGTTAGGGTTTATGCCATTAATATAATGATATTTTTGTATGCATTTAGCTTAAAGCATGTCCTCTTTTCTTGGAAATTTTTGTATTCTTTATAAAGTCAGTGATTTTTAATTGTATAATCTCAACGGTGGTTTTCTGACAGCAAATATTATTGGTCTGTAAGTCTTTTAGCCTGTACCAGGTGTATAATATGATACTTCAATTAATTATTTTTTGACATGTGCATAATATGATTCAATTAATTATTTTTTGACATCAATAAAATTTGCCATATAAATATTGCTTGCTACCATAAGTCGTTAGCTACCCAGACTAAACTGTCACCTTAAAAATCAAGAGGTAGGCACTCTTTCCCTGTCCCTCTGTTTACAGGATTGTGATAAGCAAACCTGCATATACAGCTATTTCAAAAAATGTTGACAGGGAGAACGGCGATTGTCGAAGGGAGATTGCATGACCGAAAGGAACTGTTTTGATAAACAAAATTTCACTTATTGGATTCACGTTACATAGAAATGGAGAATAAATGGAGCCAATGTTTACCACAGACCATCTTACAGTACAGTTGTTATTGCCTTTCAACTTAGAGCAAAACCTATGGCTACTTTCAGTCGTGCAATTGCAGTTCGACCATTGACCTTTGCCATGCATCTGACAACCTTTCTTGAAATAGCTATATGTGCAGGGCTGAAATCTTGAGGTTGTTTAGTGAGGATATGAGTGTTACAACACGAACAATAAACTAATGGTTTTAATTTTTATTATACTGGACTCGATTCCTATCTTACATATATAATGCACACTTTGACACCACATTAAAAACGAAGAATATCAAAAAATTGTTTCTATACAACGGTATAATAGTTCAGTCATAACATTCCACAGTTCACTTTCCAAGCAGTCCAAGTTCCACCGTTCTCTTCAGTGATACATCAAGCAATACAAGCCGTAGAGAAATCCACTAACATCGACAACGGTTCTGAGTGTGTGGAAGAAGGCCCACGAATCAATCGTATCCCTGAGCTGTTTTTCGGAATATTTCTTCGACACGGTGTCATAATCACCTTGAATTGGCTTGACGTAATTGGGGATCAAGAACAGGAACGAGTAAGGCACGTTGACGAARTACAAACCAGCAACAATGGCRCACGGAAGGCCTTCTTTGGGGTTTATGTAGTAAGCAAGCAGCCCTCCACCCATTGGGAATATTGAACCGATAGCCATGTAGCGAGCAGCAAGGTCAAAACTGCTTGAAAACTGCTTATGCGCCGATTCAGTGTCCTGGATGCTCATGCGAGCTGGATGTTCGATCAGAGAGATGTACATAGCCGCCCCTCCCATAAGTCCAGTGAAAGCGGTTTGACAGAATCTCAGGGCTCGAAATGCTTGATCGGCATCCATGTTGCTTTTCTTGCTTGTTTCTTTTCTAGCTGAAGATTTCGAGGGCACACCTAAATCCTATCGTTTTCAATGATAGCTGAGATTAAGGCACCGAAGGACAAACAACTTACTTACAAAGGATCCTATTGGTCTGTTATCATTGTTCAAAAGATTTAATTAAAAATCTACCTGCTCACGCGAATGCGCATGTTTGCGGCCTCTCACGAAAGCACAGGAATAAAAAACAATTAGTTCTTATTAGTTTTTTACCTATTTCTGCCTCATCTGTCTCTCTTTCAAGTTCTTTTAACCTCGAAGTTCTTTAGATATCCAGTCAGTTTATCCAGTCCTAAACATTCGAATTTTGGGATCCCTGTGTATGATTTTGCTACCAGGCATTCCTGGATGTTACCCCTGACTTAGATTTGTGTTCCCCCCAAATACTTCGTACCACGTGTCTTTCGTTCTCTTTCGCCGGCCATCTTGAACGAACCATAAAATGGTACGTAAGTCTTCAAATCTCGACAAATTTCTTGCAAATTCTGCCTTTAAAAAGACTTGGAAATAAATGAAACTCATAAAGTAATAGATAAACTTTATAAAAATTTTGATTTTTATTAATTTTATTTTCAAATAGTGCTATATTTTTAGATTTTATTTGGTCGATGAGATATATAATATTGAAGTCTTGTGAAATATCTTACGTTAACTTTTGTTGGTCGTTTGAGAATTGACGAGATGTTTGCTCACGATTGAAGTATAATTTTGGGGAGGTTTCTTAGTTTACTTAGTACCATGGATGTGAAAATGGTTGTCTTTTATAATAGGTTAAGTCAACTTTAGTTTTGGTTTTGTCTGCCTCGTCATCATAATTACTGGGACCATTTTATCTCATATATTTGTTAACGCTAGATATCTCACCTATAAAAGTTCAACATATATATAATAAGGATAACATTATTGAATGCTTGTTGCTGTGCTAGGAAGATCAATGATGGTTTAGCTGGAGAGATGCAGTGTTTTAATAATTTAGTATTAACTTCATGTGTAACTATATACAATCTTTTGATTCCTCTACAGGCAGCACGCCCTGTCGTGTCGATCTTTAATGAAAATGGCGAGTGTTGTGGCCAGACCACCCTCCCAGCCGTACTCAAGGCGCCAATCAGGCCAGATGTTGTGACATTYGTCCACTCTGACATGTCCAAGAACAAGCGYCAGCCTTATTCYGTTAACAAATTRGCAGGCCATCAAACTTCTGCTGAGTCTTGGGGTACTGGTCGTGCTGTTGCTAGGATACCCCGTGTTAGGGGAGGTGGTACCCATCGCTCTGGTCAGGGTGCCTTTGGAAATGTATCCTTAAATAATCGGGTTTCAATTGATTTGAAATTGTCAAATACCTGGAAATGTAGTGATATTGTTCCTTGGTACCCTTTACAATTTTTGGATCTTTCTCAAATTTATGGCAAATATGCATTGGATAATTACAAATATACATGGTTTGATTGACAAGTTTCCTTTGACTGACAGTTACTTATTGTATTTCCACTGTGAATCGTTTCATAGGAAACCAGTAAAATTTGATAAGCCTTCAATAAGCATAATGGGAGTGTATTGTAGTACAAAAATGTCATATCACGAATAATTCAAGATGTCTGCAAACTTTATAATCTCAATATTACATTATCATTTTCCTTAACTTGGTGGAAATAGATGTGCCGTGGAGGACGCATGTTTGCACCAACTAAAACCTGGCGTAGGTGGCATCGCAAGATCAATGTCAACCAGCGTCGCTTTGCAACCTGCTCTGCCTTGGCTGCCTCTGCTATTCCAGCGCTTGTCATGTCTCGTGGTCACCGTATTGAGAACATTGATGAAGTTCCATTGGTTGTGTCAGATTCCATGGAATCTTGTACCAAGACTAGTGGAGCAGTGAAGCTGTTGAAGGCCATCCATGCTTATGAAGATGTAGAGAAATGTAAAGATTCCAAAAAAATCCGTGCTGGCAAGGTGAATTAAATTTTGCATTTACCTTGAATTCTGTAAAGCTGTGATCACTTGTGGAATTTTCAAAAAAAATTTGAACTGTTTGAGAAAGGAAAATGCCATTAATAATCATTTTGAATCAAATTAACAAGTAAAAGTATTATCACAAAAAATCTAGCAATTGGTCATCAATATTGATTATTATATCTCATATTATTATTAACTGAATTTTCCAGGGCAAACTGAGAAATCGCCGTACCACAATGCGCAAAGGACCCCTYGTTATCTACAAYCAAGATCAGGGTATTCGTCAGGCATTTAGAAACCTTCCAGGTGTCGACCTTCTTCAAGTGGACCGACTGAATCTCCTCAAGTTGTGCCCTGGTGGTCACGTTGGAAGGTATTCCACAGCAGTTGATTTTATAGTTGCCTTCAGAATTTGAAATCAAGAAGTTTATTTAAATGTCACTACAACTGACTGACAAGAATAGTCAGAAATCAGTATATTTGTTGAATTTTAGAAAAATTTGTTGAAAATTTGGTACATACAGTACCATTAGTTACCAGTTTACAGGGACATTTCTTCTCAATTTGATTATTTTTTTGAGCTTCTTGATAAAACATACAAATTATAATCTGATTAACACATGAGTGATGGGGATTTACAAATAGTTTAGTTCAGATGTCAATCTTTTGTTGCATTTAATCTAATTGCTAGCGTTTAGCTCAGGAGCAAGGTTGTGTTCTGAATAGGCCATTTGCATTATGGCGTAACTTTACTACAACTACCAGATAGCCTTGCGCATTTTCATTGTTATTCAGATTTTTAATCCCATTGGAGATTAATAAAACAATTGGCACTAATTGCATTACAAAAGAAAGTTGGCAAAGCATTCTGGTAGTTGTAGTAAATGACGCCATAATGCAAATCGGCTATTGATTCACTTTGGTGGACTTCACTCAATTTAATATATGTATAAGTTCTCATGAGGCGTTTAGCTTAGGAGCAAGGTTGTATTCTGAATTAATTCACTTTGGTGGACTTCACTCAATTTAATATATGTATAAGTTCTCATGAGGTAAATTCAAGCAATTAGATTTGATGCAGCAAAGGTTTGGTGCCAGGTGTAAATGATGCAYATTTTGCCACGGTCCAGTGTGATATGATTCTCAGTTGAAACAGGTTTAACGTCTATTTATTGTACAGGTTTATTGTGTGGTCTCAAGGAGCCTTCGAGAAACTCGACAGTCTTTATGGAACATGGAAGAAAGCATCAACAGAAAAAAGCAATTACAAGTAAGCACTTCCTTTTTGGTGAAGTTTGATAGTGATGTTAATAATGTTTACAACATGAGCGGCCGTGTTGTATGGGATTTTACAATCTTGAGCCGAAGGTGAGAGATTGTAAAGCCCATGCGACACGGACGCGAATGTTGTAAACTTACTTTCAACACTCCTCATGGTTGTGATTTCTATTGTATTTTCCTCATTAATTATTCAAGAGGTTTACAAATTATGGCAAGTACATCTGTCCATATTTTTGTATTATGTGTGATAATAAGATTCCACGCTTAGTAGTTTATATTCATTTGTATCAGCTTCTGTGAAAGCTTTTTGCTGTTATATTGTATTTTTGGGTACTGTTTGACATTGTAGTTAATATTGACTTGTTTTTCTACAGCCTTCCACGTCCTATGATGGCCAACTCTGATCTCAACAGGCTCATCAACAGCGATGAAATTCAATCAGTTGTCAGACCAGCCAAGTGAGTGTTTGTTTCACTATGACATATATCATTGACAAGCTTTTTTTTCCACCATAGAACTCACTTCACACTAGCCATGATTCATAGTTTTCTCACAGTTTGTGAGGGCAACATACAGTAACAGTTAAACTCAGTACTTGCTGTCACTGCTATGGTCTTGATCATTTGATTATCATAGTTATGTGAAATAGAATTTGTGTTGTTTCCTCCTCTGTATATTTGGTACTCCAGTTTTCTTACCGCGGACTCGAATGGTCCGAAAAAAGGGGAAGAAAAAGACACTAAAAACACCTTGGTCCCCTGGGTACAACTTCATTCCACATCTAATCAAAGGTTTCAAGGTGTAATATATGATCAATTGATTTATGTGCTTTTGTTTCTAGGCTTAAAACAAAGCGTACTGGATTGAAAAAGAATCCTCTAAAGAACCTTGGAGTGATGCTCAGGCTCAATCCTCATGCAAAGAGTACCAAACGAGCAGAAATGCTTACAGTGGAGCGTAGGAAGGCCGCTAAAGCAGACTTGCTTGCAAAGAAGAGAGGCACCAAGTAAATTAGGGCTTCCAATGCATTGAAATTAAAGATGTATGCAAAGTGACCAGCGTTTGCTTGTTATTTCTCTCTTTTCTTTGTCATTTCCCGTCTGCATTTTTATTCCTACCTTTTCAGCCCATTCTCCCACTATACAGGGCTATGATGAACACTAGCCTGATAACTTCGTTATCCCTGAAGGGCTTGGGACCTGGTTATCTAGAAATTTTATGGGTATACAAAAACATAAAGATTTGGGTTTCAAATTCTAGATTTTAATTTAACAGGTCTTGGCACATCTTGAAAAGAAATCGTCTCTGCTCACTTGAACGATTCGACTATTACATGTTAATCACGGAGAACAGTGGCCGATAGGCCTGTAGGCATATCTGTTGGGACATAAGCTTAGTGGTTGGTTCGGGATCTCTTACTTTAAAAACTTTATCACAGTCTTTTTTTTAGGTAGCTGTGTGTGTAAATGCGTCCGCATTACTGCAGTCAGGTCCTGCGCCAAAAATGCAAAAGCAATCGGCATGCAGTCGGCCATTAGATATCACCATCCCAATCAGAACCAGTCATAAAGAAATCAATCCCTAGCGACTCCAAGTCAACACCATGGCCAACAAGGCTGTTTTTTCTGCTCTGTATTCTCGCGAAGTATTCTGCCGCAAACTCGGTAATGTCCTCGGGTTGCTCTTTGATAACTGTTAGGACGAATCCCTCTAGTAAGTCAGCGAGTCCTGTGGGGATTTCTCTTTGAATAGTGGACATTTTTCGTACACAAGTTCACAAAGGTTTTGCGCTTCGCACGTTCGTTAGTTTGACTGCTTGATCGTTTATGACGTGGCTAATTG